CCGAGATACTTGTAACTGTCCTCAACGTCTGCTATTGTTCCCTCTGGGAGTGAGATCCCTTCTGTGTGGACTACCTTGCCTCTCCGAGTCACCATCCTGCTACATTTCTCGAGCCCGAATGATATCCCGATGTCATGGCTGTAGATCCTGGTTGTTTGGATCAGAGAGTCAATGTCTCTCTCGCTCTTGGCGTACAGCTTGATGTCATCCATGTAGAGGAGGTGACTGATCTTTGCTCCGTTCCTGAGGCGGTATCCATAGCCAGTCTGGTCAATTACTTGGCTTAGAGGGTTGAGGCCTATGCAGAACAGTAGTGGGGACAGAGCATCTCCTTGGTAGATACCACATTTGATGGTCACTTGTGCGAGCGGCTTGCCATTTGCCTCAAGGGTAGTCTTCCACATTCCCATCGAGTTTGCAACGAAGTCCCTTAGAGCCCTGTTGATATTGTACAACTTCAAGCATTCCATGATCCATGTGTGTGGCATTGAGTCGTAGGCTTTCTGGTAATCAATCCAGGCTGTGCACAGGTTGGTGTGTCGTGACCGGCAGTCTTGGGCGACTGTTCTGTCAACCAGGAGCTGGTGTTTGGCTCCTCTGGTGTCCCTACCAATGCCCTTCTGTGCTGTGCTCATGAATTGTTCCATATGCCCACTTATCTTAGCCGCAATGATGCCTGACATGAGCTTCCATGTTGTGGAGAGACAGGTTATTGGCCGGTAGTTGGAGGGGACTGCACCCTTGACAGGGTCCTTCATGATCAGGACCGTTCGCCCTTCGGTTAGCCATTCTGGGTGAGTCCCATCTCTCAGCAGCTGGTTCATTTGTGCTGCTAGGCGCTCATGGAGTGATGTGAGTGTCCTTAGCCAGTAGGCATGGACCATATCAGGGCCAGGTGCTGTCCAGTTTTTCATACCTGAGACTCTTTCTCGGATGTCTGCCTCTGTGATGGTAACTGAGTTCTGTTCTGGGAGGTGGCTGTGCTCCTCTCTCAGGAACACCAGCCATTGTGCACTTCTGTTATGTGCTGCATCCTTTTCCCATATGTTCCTCCAGAACTGTTCAGTTTCCAGCCTCGGTGGATCTGCTCCCCTGTTGTTACCCTGCCACTGAGCGTACACCTTCGCAGGTTGTGTTGCGAACAGCCTGTTCACCCTTCTGGCTTCATTCTCTTTAGTGTACCTCTGTAGGCGGCTGGCCAGGGCTTGGAGCCTTTGTTTGGCAGTTTCGAGTGCTTCAGGTATGGTCATCTGGCTGTACTTTCTGGGTACTGGTCTTTTCATTGCACCTCTCTGGGCCTCTGTTAATTGACTCACTTCTCTCCGAGCCGCCTTGATCTTAGCCTCCAACCGTCTTTTCCATGGTGGGTATTGTCCATGGCTCCCATGGTTGCTCTTATAGCCAAGCATCTCTAGGATCACTGCTGCTGAAGTGTATATCAGCTCATTGGTTTCAGTGATTGTGGTGGTAGGTATTGCCCTCACTGCTGCATTCACGCTTTCTATGAGATCCTTAGGTGGTACTTCACACAACCGCTGTAACCGGTGTCTTTGCCCTGTGCCCATTCTAGCCATGATCTTAGCTTTCAGGTCAGTCGCTGCCTCGTTCAGCGTTATCGGTTCCATTGGGGCTATGTACCCAATATCTGGTTGGGGAGTTGCAGTTGGTGGGATCTCCCCTCTGACCTCGGCAACTGTGGCATCATATATGTGTTGTACTTCATCAATCTCAAGCTGTGATAGCAGTTGCCGTTTGTGGATGTTGGAGCATTGAGCTACCAGTTGTTTCGGGGTCAACTGTGACTGTGGGTTTCGAAGTAACCATTCAGCCCACATTCTCTGCATGTAACCTCTTTGGCCAGGGTTACTCGAGTAGTAGCATTCCAACAGAGCCCTGTTATCGCATCTCGTCCACTTTCGCCTTGTTCCAGTAGCCCACTTTTCATCAAGGTGCTCTGGTTCCCCAGCACCTGACGCAGACCTTGTTTGGCCGGGCGACGGCTGATCCGGCATCTCATTGCTTATTTGTACCTTCATGGTTTATGAGTTAGGCAGTAGCATTAAGGGTCTTGCCCAAGGACCCTCACTGGATGTTGGTGTTAATGTGCTCCCGGTGGGATTCGAACCCTGGCCTCCCAGGTCCCAGTCCTGTGCCCTACCAACTGAGCTATCCAGCTGCTTTTATATATATATATATATATATATATATATTATATATTATATATATGGTATTATGGTTGTTGTGATACTACACCCTTCTGTCTGCTCTAAAACTGTCATAATCAAACACAATTTTTCAAATTCTAATTTTAGCAAACTCAACACATCTGTGAATCTATAGATGTATTTTAAGAGTTTCCTCTCCCTTTACACTAAAGACACATAGGCACACTAGTTTACTGATGTAGTCCTTTGAAACCCTCTTTGTTGGGTTGTATTTCTAAGTCTAAGTGATATTGAACTAGACACAGATCCTGTTTGTGTGTGAGTACTTTTCTTATTCAAATGGTTATAAATCAATTATTGAGTCCGACATGGAAATATTAGGTTTTTGTTTTTAATTTCACTTTATTCACTTTCATATTTTCAAAAGTCAAAACTTAGTGCAAAGGATTTAAACTTATATAAAAATCAACTTGTACAAAAATATGCAGTTTTTACCCTGATCACAACACAAGTTTTGTTGACTTCTATGGACAGAAAATACTGCTGTACAGAAAATATTTTTCTTCTGAAATCCTGAGAACATTTTTTTTCTCAGATCAATGACTGTTTTATCCATCCATTTTCTTCCCCTTAATCAATTTCTGGGACGGGGGGTGGCAGTCAGAGCTGCACCCAAATCACAGAGCACCAGCCCCTCACTGATCCTCCTGCAGGTGGTGAGTCCACAGGAAACTTTATCTTCCACCGGGGGCTTCAGGTAAAGTGGGGTTAAGTGTCTTTCCCAAGGACACAACGACAGCAGTCATCAGTGGGAGTCGTGAAGTAGGTCTAATCTCTACCAACTGAGCCACTGTCGCCCCATTACTGTTTTTGTGGTTTGATTTTCATGTTGTTCATTCCAACAGAAAGAAAGTCTTGTGAACCAACTTGACCACAACCTGCTGTATTCTGTTTATCTTTTACATACTTAGAGCTAATTGGCCGAGTGAGGGTGGTCCTCTATTTTTCACCGTTTTGACTGAAACAGCAGATCTAAAAATACAGTCATAGAACCAAACTGTTTCAGAGCGAGGAATGAGTTACAATCATGTTTATGGACATTTATCAATTTATCATTCATCATGTAATGTTCATCATTGCATTTCTTGTGTTTGAACTGTTTGATTCTCTGATTTGTGTTGGCGAATAATCAGTTTTGTAAAGTCCTCTGAGATAACTACTGATGTGATTGCGGACAATACAAGAATAAATTGGATTGAGTTACATGAATTTTGGTATTTTTTGTGGTTTAAAAGTTCATTTTGTGAAGTACTTATAGACTGCTGCAGTCTGATTGTACAAAAATACATGTACATTTGGTACCACTTTTGATTATCCCTCACTAACAGCTTATTAAGTGCAAAGCATTGCATCCTGTGATAGAGAATGCTACTTCATGGTGAGGACCATTTTCCCAGAAGCCCCGGGAGACTCGATGATGTCGTGATGGGCCTGATGAGCCTCGTGGAGTGGGTACTGACGTCCCACCGTGGGCTTCAACCATCCGGCCTCCATCCCAGAGAAAAGGAACGCCGCACACTCAGACTGCTCTTTCTGAGAAGGAGAGGGACAGATATATATACTTTAACAACTGTAGAAAAATAACAGATTTATACACTCTCACAACTACAAGAACAACAGGAACAGGACCTGCACCCAACCTCATCACTCTTAGACATTACAATAGATGTGTTAATGAGTTAGCCTCAGAATCAGAACCATTCCCACAAGTTATAAATCTCCAACTCATGGCTGAGCTTTCATTTGTTTGAGAAAGTTCTTTGATTTAAGAAATACACAAAAGAAAACCTGCAAACTGAAGTACAGATGATGGTTGAGCAACCTTCCTTTGTTGTCCTAATCCCTGTATGACCGAGAGCTTACACAAATGTAACAAGAACAATAATAGTAGATATTTATATATCTAAGAAAAACATTAATTAAAGCCGCAAGTGGCATCGAACGGCATCGCACAAACCGCACCGCAATGCCTCACCACTCAACATGGTACCGCACAACTCTGTGCCAGCGCCTGTCGTCAATAAGCACAAGCGTCCAACTAGGGGCTTTGGCTGCGTTTTTGACGCCTGAGAAGCGTGCGGTCTGAACACAACATAATAGTGTGAATACAAATGATCAGTGAGTGTGTCTCCATAATGTCGAATATCATGGGAACTTAAATGCGTTTCTATTAAAATAAGTAATAAAATCAAATTGTTTAAACAGTGTAAATGGTGCACATCATTTACACTGTTTAAACAATCACAAATCTTAAGCCAACTTTTTATTCTACAATTGCTCTGTTAGTCAAACGACGAGTCTGGTTTGTTAAAGGTACACTGTGTAATTTTTAGTACCATCTAGCGTTGAGATCTAATATTGCAGTCCAATATAGTACGGAAGCCTTTGACAGTGCTCCTCAACTCTCAGTCATTCACCAGACTGCCAAGGAAAGGATACTTTAGTTTGATAAATGACCGGATTTCTCCAAACATCTCGGGCACTTGACAGTCGCGTGGAGGAGTGGATGTAAACAAGACCACGTTCAGACGCAGCACCCTGCACAGAGGCTCTACTGAGTTTTACCATGGATCTATTATAATTTATAGTTTTACAAACGCGGTGTGACGAGAAGAGACGCATGGAGGAATAACGTCTGTGGCGGCTTAAGACTACGATGATCAAAGAAGCAGGACTAATACACAGCCGTGGCAGGACATGGCTAAAGCTCATGTTTGCTTTAGCGTTAGCCACAGCGCCTGAATAAGTTTAGTTGAAACTTGTGACATAGTAGTTGGACTGCGCTCGGATTGGGTCAGAACATCCTGAGACTGTGTTGCAGATTCTGCCTCGTTCTCATTATTGTTAGTGTGAAAAAGTTACGTAATGTTCATGTGTGAGTCTGTTGTGTACAAACTACACTATGTGCCTTCTGTTCTGTTAACGCTCTTTCTGTGCATGCGGTTTGCGATGTTGACACTTTGCTACTATGTCGCTGCATAATTATTTTTCTGAAAGATTGTTGTTTGGATTGTTCTTTTACATAACTCTGGTCCTCCATGGTTCCTTCTTCCAACTTGTGGCACCGTGAAAAGCAACAATATCAGAAAAAAACTGCTGCTCCACTGCTTGTACACGGTTTAACCAATCACAATTCTGGAGCTAACTTTGGTGAAAATACCAAGGTTGGTTTGTCAGTAGCCAACCTACCTGTCAGAGGTGAAATGTGAGATTTTACATTTTCCCATTGACATTGAATCGAACATTTTGATAAAACGAATAATCTTTATGCCCATGTAAAACTGACAATATTAGCTCACTCTGTGGAGGGTGCTAATGCTATATTTTCATGATTTTCCCTTTCAACTGACCAACCGCCAGAGTTAAACAAGTGATTCAAATTTGTTGTTAATCAAAATGTTTTATATGTGAACGAGAGCCAATATGAAATTCTCAAAGTTAGGGGAAAAAAGGGCAATTTTGCTGCACATGTTTAGATGATGTGGAGAAATTTTGAGCAAAAATCTGTGAAACAACAGAGGCTGGCTTGTTTCGTGACAAAAGGGTTAGCTAACCCTCACTCTGTAGGGGGCGATAAGGCCGCAATTTAATTTCTTCACTTTCAGCTGACCTAGATACAAGAGTTGAACAACCGATTCAAGTTTGGTGCTAATTGAACTGTGTATCAGTAAACCGGAGCAAAATTGAAATTGTCAAATTTGGGGAAAAAAATGTTTGCTGCTCCACTGCTTGCACACCGTTTGCAACTAACTTTTGATGCTACATGTGTGGAGCAATCTTGAAACAAATGGGTGAAACGACATTGTTCAAACAATGTCTGAAAGTTTTTTCTAAATTTCTGTTTGTATAAGGCCGTGGTCATAATACAATTTTTATTTTTATTGAGATGACAAATGTGTACCAACAATTGTAACTCTAGGACAAACTAAATGCAAAAATGGCCAAATTAATTTGTGGCGCTATTGTGTCATTATATTAGTCTCAGGAAAAAAACATTATTTTTCGCCGTAACTGATCTTTGTGCAAATTGTACTGTAACTAATCTTATATAATCATAGGGTCAAAATGCAGAAGAAAAAAGAAAACATTGAGAAAAAAACCCTGATAATCCATCCTTGAGCAAAAAATATATAGGTTTCAGGCACAGAATAGATAATTTTAAAGCGCTTGGGGAAACGCACGCAACCGTTGCGTTTTGGTAAGTGACGGATACTGACGCATCCGTCACTGACCGCAACCTCTTGCGTTCGCCACGGTGAAAGCCATAGGTGTGCTTGAATGGATGTTGAAGGATGATGTGAAATGGATGTATTATGGAATCTCTGAAAATTTGGAATTTTCTGATTTTGGACATTGATTGTTTATTTATTTCGCATAATCAATGTACAATTACATTGCTTTTGCTTTGTTTTTCTGATCTCAAATGTCCAAATAAAAACATCCATTCATTAATTCAAGACTAGCGACGTGCCCTTAAACACGACCCTAAGCATATATATTTTCCACTAGTTCAGTTTCATACCTGCGTGGCGTTAAAAAGAGCCACTCCCATAACGCTGGTCTCTTTGAGCATCGTGTCTCGAGGGTCGATGGTGATGGAACCACGGGCGCCCACCACCTAAAGAACACATAAGATAAGATTCATAGAAAAAAAATGTACCATTGTTAGGATTTAGGCAGACAGAGACGGATCGTGGTGTGCCAAACTCTGGAAGTTTATTTAAGTTTCTCTCAAGTTCCACTGGTTTACTCTGTTTCTTTTCCTCAGACAGAATAAAGGCAGTACACAGTTTATATAGTCATTGTCACGTCACACATCGAAAGACATACGTGTCACAAAGAGACAGTCACATCATAGTCATAACATGGAGTCCTTGTAGAGTCCTGCACGTAGGCCATACTAATACCCTCCCCTTTGATCACATAATCACATGTGATCACTCAAATCGATCAATCAATAAAGTGGAAAAAGAAAAAAAAAAAAAAATCCTAAAAAAAACTTCAAAAAATTATTAAAAACAAAGAAAATGTATGCATTAAACTCAATCATCCAATCAATATCAGTGGATTTTATCCTCTATCCTGGGAAAAAATAAACAAACAAACAAAAACAAATCAAAAAATAAAAACAAACAAAAATAAAAACAAACAAAAACTATTGGACACACAAGAACTCAGCAGATTCAGTCAAAACACAGACAAAAACGAGCTGAGTCTCAAATTTGAAGCTAATTTCACTTTTATTACTCTATACTTTTATTCTAATGCTGATTGTTTACACTACACTCAATCTTATTTCACTGTATTATTTTCACTTTTCAATCTTAGACTGTGTACTTTACTTTCACTATTCACTATAGTTTAAAACTATTCTAATCTATTCACAAATATGTTTGTATATTTGCTTCTATTGAGCCATATTCTTAAACATACATTTTAATCTAATAAATCTCTCTGTGGTATTATACTCTCATTATCAGTGGCTTATTGTTAGTGGGATTTTGCTCCATGTCTATTCTCATTCTCAGGAATAAAACTGTGAACACAGTAAGGCAAATGGTCAACATTTACACTTCTATAGTGGTCAGTGATTTATTACTTTTTATTATCTAAAGATATTATTGTCAGGCAGTTTGGGATGAATGTACATCATTAATCAAATTAGTATTATCCTTACAAGAGCTAATCTATTTTAGCAGGTTTGGGGTTGGGGTCAGTTATTCTACAATGGTGTTTGTGCTGGAAACTTCTCAATATCTAAATATCTACTATTGTGTTTTTGTGCTATACACAAATGCATCAAAATGCTTTTAAATGCTTTTGAATCTCTGTTGGTTCTAATCTATCTCATTGATCTAGGCATTAATCTAGACTACACTCATATGGACTTTTGCATTGTCAACATTCACTCATGTTTGAACACAAGTGAATTTGGAAGGTATCTAATAAAACTGTACATAAAACTGTAAGTAACTTTATCTACTTTTGAAGTAAATGCTTGTGAAATGGTCCCTTTACCATTTGATATTAGCACTGGCTACAAATAATCTCTATTTTTGAAAGCATCTATGGTTGATGCATTTATCTAATTCTATATTTCCTCTATTTTTTAACTCCAAAGCTCGGCTGCAGCTTGAGCAAAGGCATATTTCTAATTTGTGACTTCTGTCACTTTTAATGTCTCTAAAATACTCTGATTCTAATATTATAGCTGATCTATCAAAAGGATAACATTGTAGGGTACTATTTTAACTCTTACGTGGAAATATGTTTATGAACAACAAAGGAAGTCAAATTCTACTCTTTTACTACTATTTAACATCTACTAAAACGCTACAATACTCATACTTTATCATTTTCAAAGTTTTTAACAGTTGCTCAGTCTACCAGACTAAAAAAGTCAAAGTTTTTGTCTGTCAGATGTCTGAATACTTAACATGTATATTGCATTTGTCACAGTTGTGGTTCTGGTTGTAGCAATAGCATCAGCAATAGACGTTTTCATTGGCTGGTTCTTGTTCTGCAAATGGCTGTGTCCAATAGATCATCAGATGTCCAGAAGCTAGGGACAAACAAAAACAAAAGAAGAATCATGAGTATCTCTCTCATTTAGCACTCATCAATGTATGATTTCAAAAATATAAACATCACTCCCCAGTTTTCTCTCTCAGATCCTCAGATCCTCAGATCCTCAGGGTCCCCTGAGGGTGAGTCTCAGTCGTCATCAGGTCAGGTCATATTTCCAGAGATGTCATCTTGGACATCAGTAGGGTCCAAGCCATGGTTCTGGTCTCTCCAGTTGGACATCGGATCTCCAGATACAGTCTTTTCACTTGAAGCACATCAGGTCACTTGGGATGCACTTCTGGTCAATGGTGCAGTCTCACAGTTCCTGTACACAGCTTGTTATGCAATAGTTACTTTCTATGGTTAAGTCACTTTGATTCTACTTTAAAGACAATTTCTATTCATGCTGTTGCTAATGTCCCTTAGACAAAAGCAAGCGCAGTTTACTTCTCTAATTTGTGTTTTTATCAGATCTAATTCTCATCAATGTAATTACTTCACACAGTACAAAATCAACAAATCAAAAGTGTCAGGACAGACGTCAATTAAGTCCATGACAATATAGTATTCAAATGAACATTTCTGGTCTCAAAAAATACTGATTCAACTAAAGATTCAAGTGATAGACAATTAAAAATATGTGTTTACATTGGAGTAAACTTTTAAAATGCTTTTTCCTCATGTTCTGCTTTTTCATGTATCTATATGTAAATGTGAATGTGTGAGTGTATGAATGTGTGTATGTGTGTGTGTGTGTGTATGTGAATTTTGGGGTTGTTTCTCAAGACTCCTCGAACCACCCGTAGGTGTCAAAGGTCACACTGTGGTGATGTAAACCACGTAGACACACTTTCAACTCCCTCTAGGTCTCTACCTGACGCTCCACCCATCACGTCTCCAGATACCTCTCTTTCATGGCCCCGGTCTCTCTCACACCCACTCAGTTCTGCAGTGGCGTGGGGAGGGGCAAGGAGGTGGCATTTTCCTTTGCTCTTTGATCTGTGACCTGTGGCTGGGTGGGCTTTGGTGTCCAGTGTCCAGCAGTGACCCTGTACAGTGTGTGCTCTTGGTTCTGGAAAACAACCTTATAGTCAAATTAAAAACAACAGAGATTGTGAATGAGATTGTTTTTCTTTCTGAAGTCAAAACAATTTGAGCGCTCTGGGTTTTCCCAAGCGCTATGTAAATAAAGATTACTTATTCTCTTACTAATGATGACATTTTAAAACCAGAAACTAAAGAAGTTATCAAAACAACAATTATACTCAAAACAAACAACCTTTTAAACTTTAAAACATGTATTATATACTTTTGTACTGTGTGATGTTTTTAATCTTGAACATCTTGGGTTTCACTTTATGGACTTTCCCTTTTACACTTATTTATCTCAGCATCTATTCTACTAATTTAAAATAATTGCAGCATTTTTCAAATGAAGTCAGTATGAATTGGAGCACATTTTAGACCAGGCTCCTGTGCTGCGTGCATCTGCAGCAGGAGGAAGGTCAGGTGCATAGTCAAAACAAAAACAAAAGTCACCACTTGAATGTGAATTGGGTGAATTGGGTAGTTTAACTTAATAATATAATACTTTTACAGCCTAATTCCCTCTTTCTTTTTTAGACGAAGTCTATAATCAATAATCACTTTTAACAGATTCTAATTTAAATGTTTGAAAAACGGCTTTTGTAACTAAAATAAAAAATACATGAAAAAATTCTCACAAACAGCTATGAAATATATCAGAGATACAATAATGGACTCACAAAATAAGCAGCAGATTTAAAAAGAAAAGCAAAGCTTTTTGTACTAATCTTTGGGTTTCAAAAACATACTAATTCAAAACTTCTATTCCCTAATGGTGTTTAAAAACGTTTAACTGTGTCTAACACAATGTTCAAATGGCAAATTTAGCAAATTTAACGGAATAACTACTATGAAAAGCCAAATTCCTAAAGCAGTAGCTTTGCTTCAGATTCACAGCCAGAGCAGCGAAGGAGGGGGCCGTTTCCCTGACAACGGCAGCAGATAGTGCGACGCACACACGCACAGGCAGAAAGATACAGAAGAATAACTTTCAAGATTACTTTGCTAAGCAAATATAACTGATGTTGTTCTTTAAACTTTTGTCATTTATCAGCCTGAAATTCGTCAATTTCAAAGCTTTTGTAACAAAGGCCTCTTTAACACATTTCCCTTTTTATAATAACTTTTATTTTTACACCATGGTTTCACTAACTATTTTCTATTCTCTATTCTCTGCCCCGGCTACTCCAAAGGCAGGGACCCCGATACGTCAGGGGGTTCCTTTTTTCTCTCTGTCCTGACTACTTCAAAGGACAGGGACCCCGATACGTCAGGGGTTCCTTTTTCTCTCTGTCCTGACTACTTCAAAGGACAGGGACCCCGATACGTCAGGGGTTCCTTTCTCTCTGTCCTGACTACTTCAAAGGACAGGGACCCCGATACGTCAGGGGTTCCTTTCTCTCTGTCCTGACTACTTCAAAGGACAGGGACCCCGATACGTCAGGGGTTCCTTTCTCTCTCTAATCTTATCTATAGATATTAGACATTTGGTGGACCTCAAAAAAGGACCATAATTTAGTTCACTCAATTAGCAGACTTTGAATAAACAGGTGTCCGCTCTTACCTTTTGTTGAACAGGGCGCCAGGCATTGTCAGAAGTCCACCAAATATCAGCTTTTCCACGTCCAACCAGGTCTCCAGATCATGAACCAGCTCTCACTAGTACCGGGAACTAGTTTCCATCGGCAGAGACCAATCGCACGTCAAAAATTCCCGGAATGTGGACATGGGAAAACAATTTTAAACGCTAAGTCCAAAAAACAGGACACAAAAAAATATAGTGAGACAGCGAAAAAGAGTCCCGGAGCCGGTCGCCTCTCCAGCCTGACCTGGACCGCTCCCAGGCCCCAGATACTCTCAGCTCTCCCACGCCGAGAAAAAGAAAACAAAGAAAACTCCCTCAAAACAATCCAGAGAATGGCACACACGGAGCCGCGCATTCTCCACCAAATCTGTTAGGATTTA